CCCCCCCCCCCCCCCCCGCAGTGCAGAGGGGGTCCGGCGTTCCGGGAACGCCGGACCCCCTTCACGCTTCGGGGGAGCGAGGGGCACCGAGGGGGCTTGGTGTTGTGGTCATCGAGGGGATGGGGCGGACCCCCTCATCCCACACAGTACAAAGGGGGTCCGGCGTTCCGGGAACGCCAGACCCCCTTCGTGCTATGCCCATCGTCGGATCGGATCTCGGACCCCCGTCCTCCCCTGCGGCACAAAGGGGGTCCGGCGTTCCCGTCCTCCCCCGCCGCACATAGGGGGTCCGGCGTTCCAGCTGTGGCCATCGAGGGGTGTGGACGGACCCACTTCTTCCCCCGCAGCTCAAAGGGGGTCCGGCGTTCTCGGAACGCCGGATCCCCTTGGTGCTGTTGCCGGCGACGGGGAGGGAGGGGGCCCCTTACTGTCTGGCAGCACCGAGGGGGGTCCGACGTTCCCGGCTCGGTGCTGCTAGAGGGAGGGGGAGGGACGGACATGAAACGCCGCAGGGTTCCGTCGAGGACGCGGGCGAGGGAGGGGTCCGACCAACTACCGTGCCGACAGGCACGCTGGTGGGGTCTGCTATTTAGCTGACGCCAGACCCGCACACGCAACGGTCGTGGAACGCTGGACGTCTAGGGAACGAGGGTCGGGGTGTCGGGGTGTCGGGCATCTAGGGAATGCCGGACCCCTTTTCAGATGTGGTCGGGGGTCGGCCGTTCTGGGAGCAAATGACCCCCTTTCATAAATGCCCCGAGGGTCGGCCGTTCTGGGAGCAAATGACCCCCTTTCATAAGCGACGGTCGGGGGTTGGGCGTTCTGGGAACGCCGGATCCCCTTTCATAAACGACGGTCGGGGGTCGGGCGTTCTGGGAACGCCGGACCCCCTTCCATAAACGCCTGTCGGGGGTCGGGTGTTCTGGGAACGCCGGACCCCCTTTCCGGAGACGTCGGGGGTCGGGCGTTCTGGGAACGCCGGACCCCCTTTCAGAAACGACGGTCGGGGGGGCGGGCGTCTAGGGAATGTCGGACCCCTTTCCAGAAACGAGGTTCGACTCCACATGCGAAGCGCTTCTGTTTGTTCCTCATTTGTTCTTTGCTTGTGCGTTTCCTTTGTTTGTGCCCTCTAGGTCAACCTGCTGCTTCGTCCTCTTGGGCATATGGCAGGTCAAAAATCTACAACAACAAACCATGGGCTCTGGACTGGGTTGGTGTCCTGCATAGGCCTGGGTGTGGGGCCGTCGTCTTCTTGAGCGACGACAATGGTGCGACGTGGTACTGCTGTGGGGGTGTTGAGAAATCTAAGAGCGCCAGGAATACCTACGACGGGAGGTCGTTCAGGACCTTCTTTCTTACGTCAGTTTTCGACAAGGATGTCACAAATTGGGTCTAGGAAGATAAGAAGGTCGGCCTTGACTTGCGGCTCTTTCAAGGCTACGGAAGCGTTTGACGTGCGCGGGGATGGCACCGAGCTTCGCATGATGACTGCGGAACAGTTCCTCAGTAGAACGAACGGCTACCTCGTCACTGGCTGCCTTCCTGTCGTTAAAAGTTCCTTGGAGCTCACCAAACCCTTGGTGAAATTCAGCAGCCCGGCGGACCAACTGCCAGGCGTTGTTAAGGAGTACAGGGAAGCCTTCTCGAGGCTGCCTTTGGACCAGCAAGCCGACTGCGCTTTCGTGCCCTTTGTCACGAGCTCGAGGAAATCGCGACAGATGCCATCCGCGCCGGTTGGGAAGAGGAAACAGTTGGCTGCTTGTCCAGCTCCGCCTTTGCCAGCCGCGTCGCCCTCGCCCTTGCCCACGGTGAGGGGAGGTCACGATATCGCTCAATGTCCCAGCGAGGGTACGGAGTACGACGACAGAAATCTGTACGGACGCAATGCTGCGTGTGACAGTGCCCAGGAAGGTGCGACTGCCCTTACTGAGTGAAACGAGGAGGAAGAAGATGGGGGAAGCTGCGGTCCACGTGAAGACGACGGTGATGACGAGTATATGGACTTTCGGGATGAGAACATGCGGGACCAAAACATGCTTGGCGATGACGACGTCGGTGTCACGTCGGAGCATGGCCCTGGCGACATCCCCACGGGTTCTGTGGGAGCGGCTGTTGGTCGGCCCTTGTCATCCCCTGCGATATGGCATTCGCAAGGCGGGAGTCAGGGTGGGCATGACTCGCAGGAGCAGGGAGGATCAAAGTCGAGGAAAAGGACAAGAGAAACTTCTCCTTCTGCTTCCACTCACAAGAGACAAGCGAGGACTGACGCTGTTAATGAGGCTCGTGGAGCTCTGGTGGCATCCCAAGAGGCGAGACCTCCTCGGAAGAGCAGCCAGGGGGGAAGATCTGGCGGTCGTGGCGGCGCAAGAAAAGGTAAGCAGATAGTGAGGGCAGAAGAACTGCGGGACTCAGGGGATGAGGGCGAGGGAGTGGGCCCTTGCATGCCCGACGATGGTGATGAACCGCTTCAGCACGCTGCGCCCATCGACACGACGCGTTGTTTCTTCCTCGAGTACGACGAGCAGGGTTTTGCTAAGCAAAAAGTCCTTCCTGTTCTTGTGGACGTCATGAAAATCAAACGCATTCCCCACGAGAATATTATTTTCAACCACCGCTCTTTGTCTGCGAACATTGTGCGAGGCATCATGAATGCCATCGAGAGTTCCATCACCACGGAACCGGGGGCGTGGGATAGGCCTGACCTCGTGCTTACGCCGGTTGACCGCAACGACATCGTTGACGGGCAGGGTAGGCGGATAACACCGACCGAATTCTTAGAAAGAGACTCCTCGGAGTTCGATTGGTATGCTGTCAGTGGTCAGCATACGGTCGAGGCCATGAAGACATTGGTAAAAAAAGGCTCTCCGGCAGTCGACGTCTATGGCCTTCGCGCGTACTCTAAGGTGCGGGTCGTCTATTTTGGAGATGAGCAGACGCGAGGGTATTTCAATGTCTCCGCCTTCGACAACACGCGCAAAAATTGGGCCATGATGTTGTCCTTCGAGGATGCTGTCCGTGATATGAGGCAATGGTGGATCGATAACCATCAAATCCAGGCCCCGAAAGGCAAGGTCAGCGATAAGGATGCGGTCATCGTTGCGCACCAAAAGAAGTGGCAGAATTTCTTAAGGGCCTCCATGGGGAAGGCATGCGACAAGGCTTTCGTGAAGCAAGCGCTCGAGAATGAGTACAGTAAGGATTGGAGCAATAAACTCCGTGGCTACATGAACCTCGCCACATCCACCGAGGCTGTGTGGCCACTGGTCGAGAAGTTCTTCGAGATGTTCAACGAGGGGAAGTTGCCAGTTGGCGATGGTAAAATACCGCTTGACATGCCGGGTAGGATGGAGGGGCGCCAGCCAGGTCCGTACACCGACGAGAGGAAGGGGCAAAAAACATTATACCATTGCATATACGCGAGAGATGGTCTCAAAGGCTCCACGGTGTCGTGGAAGGATCTTTGTCCTTCCTACTTCAAAAATTTTGGGGATTTGACGTGCCGCGAGAGGGAAGTTGCACTGCTCCTCCTCATGAAAGGGAAGGTGGTCGCGACGAACGTTAAGGTCATGCCTCTGAGAGTGAATACGGAGTGCCTCCTCGACATCATGCGCAAGGAACGGTACATGGTCCGTATGTTCAACTACGTTGTTTTTCGCGTCGAGGGAAGGGCGGACGATGAGTGGAATGATGCCTTCTTCATGTCATACAAGGACCTTGAAGACAGGTATGGGCCGAACGGTCTGTGTGCAGCTAAATGGGAGAAGGAACGGGATAAGCTGCATGTCAGCAAAGTGAAGACGGTCCCTCGACGACTTGGAGGGGTGGAGGAGGCAAGGCAAGGATCAGGCTTGGGCCCTACGGCGGCAATGTATAAGGAGGCTCCGTTCCACTTTAAGGTGTTTGTATACACCTTAATCGATAAGCTCGATTTGCTTCGGGCAGAGGTCAAACGGGTCGCCTCCAGTGCACGTCATATCATGTGGGATAAACTTAAAAAACAAACAACATTGCTACCGGTGTGCATGCCATTGAAGGAAGCGCTGGCTGCGTCAGACGACATCGTCGCTGCGGCGCAAAAAATGACCTGCAGGGCCGTCATCCTTGACATCTCCCCCGCTAACTTCTCCACGACCTGGACCTCTCAAGAGTTCGACGCTCTGCACTCTATGATGACTAAGTGTTGTGGCGTTAATTGGGTTCTTCTTGTCTTCACACCGCAGAAAGTGCAAAGTGATGTTCTTCGTTGTTTATTCCAGTGGGAGGACATCGAACTCATCCTCGGGACCTGGAAACAGGTGGACAGGCCATCGAATGACATCACGAGGTATGGCAATATCGCTACGGCGAGTCGAGACATGATGGTCATTGTCCTGCACGCAGAGGGAGGGGATCTCAGAAAGGTCACGGTCGCACCCCGCCTTGTCAATGACCTCACAAACGTGCATGTTGTGGAGGACAAGTTTGGAAAGTGTCTGGGGAAACACGGTGGCATAGAGGGCGATGAAAGTGTGGTGTATTCCATCTGGGAGCGAGAGCCTGACAAGTTGCGTTCGTTGTGTGGGTCGTTCGTCGGGGAGGCGGAAGGTGTGCTTTTATTGGGTAGGGCGCACACGGGTCTTGTGTGGGAATGCTTACTGGCAGGGAATAATGTCATTGTCTGTGATGAGTCGGCAAAGGACATTACAAAGTCCATCGATATACTTGTCAAGGACGACAGATTCAACTACCACGTCGAGAAACCGCGTTGCAAACATCGCCCGAACAGGGACATGTTCCACAAGTTGGGGCCTAAAAGACTGAAGGTGTGGGAGTACCTGTTCTGCGATATGCCACAAGGACGGCTTGATGGGAAATATATATATAGGAAAGCAAAGGCAACAGAGACCCTCAAACATTATCACGGTGCTCTCACTGGCGCCTTTGAGACTTTTGTTGCTCGATGCGAGATCCTCAAGTTCGATCTTCGCAGAGACCAATTGACGTCCAAGGACTACGCGGAGCTCGGGAAATCGGGCGATGGCTTTAACCCTGTCGACAGCGAGGAAGATTCTTCGGACTCCGACCTCGAACTGGGGGAGGACACATGTGCTGAGGTTCCGCGTGGAGGAATGGTGCAAGCTCATGATGACGGAACTGTCCATTCGCACGAAGGGTCCATCCCGGTGGCCGCCCCAAGCGTCGCCTCAATGGTGGCCCCGTCGGAGACTGCTGCATTGCAAGACATTGGAAGATGCGGTGGCAATGAAGAAGACGACATTGAGGTACCAGGCGAGGCGTCGACGCTCGCACCAGGCGATGCAATTCCTCCAGGCTACTGTGCTGACCCGAACACGATTTATTTCTTGGAGGGCAAACACACCCACACAGGCGAGGATCAATGGGGCCATGACATCATATGGCATGAGGGCGTTTTACAGCCATGCATCCAAGATGGGGAGTGGAAGATGGCGGTGAAATACACAAGCGGTTGGAAGACTTTTCACCGGATGTCAAAGGACATCTGGTTGAAAACGACGGAGCTCGCGATCCTGCATCGCGTGCGCGTCGAGAATCCAGGGCAGAGCGAGGCCGCCATCAAAGCCAAGGCCGAAGAATTGTTTCATGTCTTGCGCGACAATCGGCAACTGGAGTACAACAACAAATTTTATGCCTTGCGCTCGAGTCCCTCACGCGGGTCAATCAACTGGAAGGTTGATCAAACCGCCTGAACCTTGGAGGGGAGCTGCTCTCATGATTTCATGCCTTCGGCTGAGCCGGCCTCCGTGGCCGCGCAAGCAGGGCACAGGGGAGATGACGGGACTACTGTTATCAGGCTTCAAGAGGTTGACATGGCGTCAATGCCGCAAATATCGGAAAAATCCATCTCGGTCGCCGCGGCACAATCGTCCTCACCCATCGCTGTGTCAACGACGTTGTCGCCAGATGCAGGTGCCATGTACGGGAGTTTATTGATAACAAATGCTGCAATGCAAGGCAGATCCGAGTTCGAGTCAGAATCTGTTGTTGGGCCGAGCTTGGCGGAGAGTCAGCTGCAACCGTCTTTATGCACTGGCAAAGGTGATGCACAATCACCGCTGACACCACAGGAAGGGGCCGGTTGGGATGGCGGGAAGGGAGGGGATGTGGAGGGAATGCACCGTTCTCGCAACCTCGATACCTTAACCCCTGATGTTGATTAAAAGGGTGAGGATGAGTTAGGCGGGAGGGGTGCAATTGGAGGGGGAGAATCCAGTGATATAATTACAACTTCACCTCCGCCTTGTTGAACGAAATTGTGTAATTGACTTGGTTCGTTGTTTTGTTTAAAACAGAATTCGTATTAGTCTCCGTAGGCACCACTTCTACATCGTTTTTCCATTTATGTATAAATTTTTTTTTCACCTCAAATTTTTAATAGACCTGAGATGTTTAGATTGACTGCTCGTCTCGACGTCCAGTAACAAATCGTGGTGGGAGCGTATGTGTGGTATTGTACATCTCTCTCTCTCTCTCTCTCTCTCTCTCTCTCTCTCTCTCTNTCTCTCTCTCTCTCTCTCTCTCTCTCTCTCTCTCTCTCTCTCTCTCTCTCTCTCTCTCTCGTTGCGACATGGACGTGTGTTTAGGGTGGTCGATCAATGAGAGGAATGAATGACTGCATATGTGAATGACGTTCATACAAGTAAAATATTAGAGAAATAATGAAAACATGTCTTGCATGCATCAGCTCTCACAAAGCGTTTGGCCATGCACTCACAATACTTGCCCCGTCCGCTCGCGTGAATGTCCTCTTCCTCATCGTCTGTGTTGTGCAGTACAAATAACAACAACGGATACAAGATTGTGCAAAAGAGGATGGACAATGCATCTCGCAACTTCATCTTTATCGGAGAGGGAGATGGCAACACTAGCGCATATCATTCGCGAATACGGGAATAGGTACCCCGTTGTCAACACACAAGATGCGCAGAATAATGAAGTGTTGCAACTCACTCGCAACGATTTTCTTTTACTCACCGTCGAACAACAGTGGTTAAACGACAACGTGATCAACTTTTATCTCAACCTCGTAGCATTAGACAACTGTTGTAGAATACAGCACGTAGAATACGACGCGGATAATGAGATAGTCATTAGAGAAGGAAACGGTCGCATTCCCAGAGTATCAGTGTTGAACTCGTTTTTTTTTGTCAAACTTTTCGATAATGACATGAGATATAGAGGCCGAGAGGTAGAACGCTGGTACCAGGATGTAATTATAAGTGACATGAATTTGATTATTGCTCCTTTCCATATCGCACACCAGGACCACTGGACCTTGGTCGTGGCTAACTTAAGGAGGAGGAAATTTGAATTTTACGACCTCCTCGACCCCGACAAGGAGTTCGCAATAAAAGTGACCGGCGGGTTTGCAAAGTTTTTATTCGAAAGATCGAAAGTGCAAGGCAAAGAGGTGGACACGAGACCATTCAATCACATATGGAATGTAGAGGGCATTCCAAAGCAACATGACACGAACGAATGTGGGGTCTTTGTACTCACGTACGCGTCACTTTTGACACGGGGTCAACTTCCGACTTTCTGTTTCACCGTGGTTGACATACCCGCGATACGTCGTCGGATGGCATTGGACCTAGTGGCTCGTGAGTAGTGCGTATGTGATATTCTTAGTATGATTGCGAAGGGGGCGGACGTGGTTGGCACGAGATGGCGCTTGACAAAAAACAATGTATATAAGGTGTTAATTATTCCTCGGTGCACTGTGTCACTTGCCCTTGCATGGTACCTTACACCTTACACCTTACCCAATACACCTTACACCTTACCCCCCTACACCTTACACCTTACCCCTTACACCTTACCCCTTACACCTTACCCCTTATACCTTACCCCTTTTCCCTCACTCCAGAACGCCCATTTGTAATGGTTTTTGCACTTCAATCATCTCAAAAATGGCAATTTCAATTTCGTTCAAAAAATATAAAATGTCCGTTTTGATGAAATCGCTGTTTATATATCTCTATCTCTATCCTCTTAAAGAATGCAAAGGGCCCAGGGTGATGCCGCCCGCTGGGCCCAGCGAAATTTGGTGTGGAGGCGGGTGGGACTGGGGCAAGGTAAATCGGTCACGGCGTTTCGTGGCGGGACTGCGGGCGGGACTGGGGCGCTGTGGGCCTGCGTGGCGGCGTTTGGTGATGGGCGGATGCGGGCCTGAGTGCGGTGCGGTGCGTGCGTGCGAGAGAGTGCGAGAGTGCGGTGGGCCTGCGGCAGACGAGTGCGGGAGTGCGGTGCGGTGCGCGAGTGCG